TGGGAGTCTTTTGATGGCCTGATCAATTTCTTCTTTTGTTATGGGTCTGTTCAGGTTTTCTACTTCACTGTGTACAAGTTTTGGTTGGTTGTGTTTATCTAAAAATGTATCCATCTCTTCTATGTTTTCAAATTTGTTGGAGTACAACTCTTCATAGTATTCTGTTATTATCCTTTTGATTTCCTTTGCTTTCATTGTGACATCACCTATGTGATTTCAATGCATGTTATTTGTGTCTTCTACCTCTTTTCTTTTGTTAGATTTGCCAATGGTCTGTGGATTTTGTTAATTCTTTCAAAGAAGCAGCTTGTTGTCCTGTTGATTGTTTCTATAGATTTTCTGTTTTCTATCTCATTTATTTCTGTTCTAATCTTTATTCTTTTCTTTTGGTGGCTGTGGATTCCCTCGGTTGGTCTGTTTCTAATTGTTGTACATGCTGTGTTAATGTGTTATTTGTGGTTCTTTCTTCTTTTTGGATATGTGTGTTTATTGCAATAAATTGTCCTCTCAGCACCGCTTTCGCCATGTCCCAACGATTTTGGTATGTTGTGTTTTCGTTCTCCTTTATTTTTAGAAAATATGTGAATTCACGTTTAATTTCTTCTACTACCCAGTCACTTTTCAGCAGGTATTTGACTTGATATCCTTGGTCTTACTATTGTTGATTTCTAATTTGATAGCATTGTGGTCTGAGAAGATGCTTTGTAGTATTTCAATATTTGTACATTTTTGTAGATTTTTTTTGTGGCCAAAAACATGGTCTATTCTGGAGAATGTTCCATGTTCACTGGAAAAGAATGTGTATTGTACAGTTGTTGGTTTGAATGCTCTGTACACATCTATGAGGTCGTTGGTTGACTGTGTTGTCTAGTTCTTCTGTGTCTTTGTCAAGTTTCTTTCTGGTTGTTCTATCCATTTTTGAAAGCGGTGTATTAAAATCACAAACTATTATTGTAGATTCATCTATTTCTTTCTTCAAATCTATTAGAGTTTGTTTTATATATTTTGGAGCTCTTTCATTGGGAGCATAGATATTTACTATGGTTATTTCATCCCTTTAATCATGAGATAATGCCCATCTTTATCTATTATGCTGTTTTATGCCTTAAAGTTTATCGGAAATTAGTACTGCCACTCCTGTTCTCTTTTTATTGAAATTAGCTTAATATATTTTTCTCCATCCTTTGACATTTAATCTGTTTTTTCTCTGTGTGTGAGATGTGTGTCTTACAGACAGCATATTGAAGGATCTTGTTTTCTTATCCATTCTGCCACCCTCCATCTCGTAACAGGTGTATTTAATCCATTTACATTCAGTGTTCTTTGTTCTGTTTGTCTTGCTTTGTTGAGTTCATGATTTTTGTGTTCTGTCTTGTGAGTTTGCTCATGGTTTTAATGTTTTCATGTTCTTCTTGGATTTTCATTGTCTTGGTATTTTGTGAAGTGTTAATTTTCTTTGAGGTTGCCTCATATTCCACTAACTTTTCTCTCCATTTAGTGCAGTCAGGTCAACCTGACCTTCTCACTATCTGGATCTCTTTTCCTACGTGTTTACCTTCTTTTATATTATACTTGTTTTGATCATAGACTGACCTCCCAGATTCTCTGAGTTTGTTCTTATAATTTTGTTCTGTTAACAACTCTTCTTTCTGTTGACTTAATTCAGGGAGGTGCTGACACGTAGGTCAATCTCTGGTTGTGGTCTGTTCTTGTTGCTTCTCAGTACACAGAACTCTCTTTAGGATGTTTTGCAGTGCAGGGCTGGCTTTGGTAAAATCCCTTAGCTTCTGTTTATCCTGGAATGTTTTGATTACACCATCATATTTGACAGCTTTGTTAGATAAAGGATTCTTGGTTGGCAGTTTTTTTTTTGTTTTGTTTTTTGTTTTTTTTCTCTCAGGGTTTTATATATGTCTCCCCATTGCCTTCTTGCTTGTATGGTTCTTGCTGAGAGACCTGAGCTTAATATGACTTGCTTGCCTTTGTATGTGACACTTCTGTTTTCTCTGGCTGTTTTCAGAAGTGTCTCCTTATCTTTGAGTTTGGAGAGCTTGACTATGATGTGTCTTGGTGATTTTCTTTTGGGGTCTACCATTCCTGGAGTTCGTTGGGCTTCTTGTATGTTTATCTTTTCGCTTTTCAGGATGTTAGACAAATTTTCTTGCAGCAGTTCTTCAACTATTTCCTCTGTGAACTTGTGTGATTCTTCTTGTTCTGGAATGCC